TCTATGAGTAGTTTCGCAAGTGTGGCCATTCGGAAATGGGATATGCTAGCTGTTATTGGCAAGTTTGATTTGCACTTGGGTGAGTCTGGAGAGAGTGCTACCTTGTTTACTTTGAATGCTCAACCTACCTTGGTTAGTAAGGACATAGAGGCACAACAAGGAGACCGTGATGTGGAATCAATCCGTGTTAAGATTTCCAATGAAAAGGAAGAGAAAGGTTTGAACGTTCACTCGAATCTGAGTGTACATTACCTAGACTATCTGTTTGTACCAGAATCTTGTAGAGAGGAAGTACTTCGGGAGTTCCATCACTCACGACTTGTGGTACACCCGGGAGGCACTAAAATGTATCATGATCTTAGTCATCAGTTTTGGTGGAGGGGTATGAAACGGGATGTCGCTTTATTTGCAGCGAAGTGCCTTACTTGTCAACAAGTGAAGGCCGAACACCAAAGACCAGCAGGTTTGTTACAACCCTTGCCGATAGCTGAGTGGAAATGGGAGCATATTACCATGGATTTTGTAGTTGGGCTTCCTAGAACACAACAAGGCAATGACGACGTTTGGGTGATTGTTGATAGGTTGACTAAGTCTACCCATTTCATTCCGATGTGCACCCACACTCAGTTGAATGCTTGGCAGAGTTGTACATCAGAGAGATAGTTCGACTTCATGGAGTCCCTGAGACTATTGTGTAGGACAGGGATCCTCGTTTTACTGCCCGGCTACGGCAAAGCCTTCAAGAGGCGTTGGGAACTAAGTTGACTCTTAGCACCGCTTATCATCTTCAAACTGATGGACAGTCGAAACGTACCATTCAAATTTTGGAGGACATGCTTAGAGCCTGTGTCCTTGATTTTAAGGGGCCTTGGGAAAGTCACTTACCATTGATTGAGTTTGCTTACAACAATAGTTACCAAGCTAGTATTGGGATGGCACCATTTGTGGCCTTGTATGGCTGACCTTGTAGATCACCGGTTTGTTGGGCCGAAGTGGGTGATGCACCGTTACTGGGTCCGAAAATTGTTAAAGAGGCAACTGAGAAAGTTGTTCTCATTCGGAAGAGGTTAGCTACAGCCCAAAGCCGACAAAAGAGTTATGCCGATAAGAGGAGATGACCTTTATCTTTTGCAGTTGGTGACCATGTGTTTTTAAAAATCTCACCAAGGCGGAGTTTGATGAGATTTGGTAAGAGTGGTAAATTATCTCCAAGGTTCATTGGGCCTTTTGAGATCTTAGAGCGCATTGGGGAAGTTGCATACCGGTTAGCTTTACCGCCACAACTTTCAGAAGTTCACAATGTATTTCATCTAGCTATGCTTAGGAAGTATGAACCCGACCCTTCTCATGTGCGTGATTGGGCTGACTTGGAGGTAGATGAGGATGCCTCTTATGAAGAACAACCGGTTCAAATATTAGATACCTAGGAGCAAGTGCTACGGGGCAAAACTATACCGTTGGTAAAGGTGTTGTGGAGACACCATGGGATTTAAGAAGCGACGTGGGAATGGGAGGCGGAAGTCCGCTCCAAATATCCGGATTTATTTGAAAGTGCTTAAATTGCTTTTCTTTGTAATATTCCCTAGTGTTGAGGGAAACGTATTTAAATTTGTTAACCACATGTTGATATGTGCGTTGTTGTTTTAGGCATAAGGTTGTTGAGAGCTGCCATTACTTTTTAGGAAATTTCATGTTTATACGTCTTTGGGAGGTTGTTGTTAATGAGATAACCATGGTGGAAATGGTGGAATTTGGTTGAGAGTTAGTATTCTGATTTGAAAATGAAATAGCGTGGTTTTGATCGCTAGAAACCCCTTTGTTTGGGTAGTTGGATTTGAAATTTCGGGGACGAAATTCTTTAAGAGGGAAGGTTGTTTTGATCCAGGTTTCGATCCTTCTTTCATGTTTTACCACTTCGACTGGGTAGGTCGGGGATTGAGTTGCCCGGTCAGCTCGCAGGGGTCGAGGGGGCAGCGCCTCTTGACGGGTCCGAGGGGTAGCGTGCCGAAGCAAAAATGCAAAATGCATTTGAAGTTGCTCGTCCGCTTGAGCGGCCGTTTATGCGCTCGAGCGGAGAATGTTTGGTTCCAGAAGTTTGGCCTGTCTGTAAAAGTACTGGGAAGGTGTATTCGACGCTCGAGCGGGGCTTTCCACACTCGAGGCGGGCTTTCCACGCTCGAGCGGACCATGTTATATCAGTTCCTGAATCTGATATTTCAGATCACTTTTATATATCTCTCTTTCTAAAAACCCTTTCTTCTCCATTCTCTCTACATTTCCCTATGCCAAATTGGATCAAAACTTTGATTTCTCAAGAAGATCTTTGATTTCTTCAAATCCTTTGGGATTTGGATCTAAGTTCTTCATCAAAGTTGGTTAGCTCCTCGAGGGCTTCGTTGTGTGCGGTGAAGATCAAGTTTGGACACTGTTGATTTTGAGAGTTTCATCTCATTTCTTCTTCAAAACTTGAGGTAGGGATTTTCTTAGAGTTATATATATATTTGCAAGATCTATATGATTTTCGAAATCACCTTTCGATAGCTTTGAAAATTGATTGTTGATTCAAGAAGTTGAGCGATTTTGAAAGTAGGTTTCTCTCTTGTTCTTTTAAAATGATCTTATGGGTTTTGATCTTCGTTGATTGAAGAAAAGATGATTTTGGAAAGTTTTTTTTCAAAGGATTTGAGTTGTATAGTTTTGGTGAAAAAACCTAGAATTTGGGGATTTTTTTTAAAGCGATTGAAAATCCATGAATGATATTGTTATATTTATTTTGTGTGTCAAAATAAATAGATGTTTGAAAATTTTCTTATTTATATTTATATAAATGATGAATTTCAGGGAATATGAGAATTGTTGTTCATTTTGGAAATTATTGTTCAAAACGTTGAAATAGTCTTGAAATGACTAATTGTTGAGGAAACTTGAGAAGAGGGAATTGTGTTATTCCTTAGACGATGAATTGGCATAAAAGAATTTATATTCATTTTGTGTTATTGACATATCAATTCATTTGATTACATTAAACTTTGAAAGTTGATTTGAAAACTTGCATTGAGAAAAGAATGTTGAGAAACAAGTTTCCATAAATTGGTTTTGGGGTAAATACGGTGGTAAGTCTTGACAGGTGGTGTAGATGAAATTGAATAGGTGTCGAGCTTTCCAGTTAATACTGGTAAAAATGACAGATTGTAGGTGTCGAGCCTTCCAGTCAATGTTGGTAAAAATGACAAATTGGTAGTACTTGTATAGTCTACTTGCAGACACCTACCTAGGGATTACCAGAGTTGTATTTACCGCCCTTGAAATAAATTGTTAAGTTTTGAACAATTGAAATTGCATGACATCATTGAGCATGATGGTTTTCAAAAGATAAAAATGTGATTTATCTTCAAAAAGGGGCATAGCATGGCATGTGCATTTCATCTCTTGAGACTTGTATAAAATGTATATACTTTGTTAAAGATTTCCTACTGGGCTTTATGCTCACCCTACGGGATTATTGTGCAAGAAAAGATGTGGTGATGCTGCCTAATTAAAGGCAAGAAAATGTGTGTTGAGAGTACGAGACTCTCATTTTGCTGTGACTCTATGTGTAAGCCAAGGGCTGTATGTGTATGGGTTTGAATAACCGTTTTGTGTAACTAGGCTCAAGCCTTGGAAACTTGTAAACCCTTGGGGGTATTTATTTGTTTATTTACTTGTTGTTGGGTTAATGTATTGTTGCATGAAGAACTATTGTATCATGTAATGTAAGTTTGGAGATTTATATTTAGTTTTCCTTGAAAGTGCCATGATTGTTGTATTATCATTTAGGCTAAAAATTTGGGGCATTACAAGGATAACGTCTTTGACGTGTCTCTCACAATCACTTAGGCTATTTTCTCAACCCGTTTCTTCATCTTTTTCTTATTCTGTTATATACATGTGTGTGTGTGTATAATTTTGTTGAATTGTAAAAACCTATTTTTTAGAGTCTATTTTGCTTTCAATTTTATTCTATAAAATTTATTTAAAATAATTATTGGTCAATTCTCCTAACAATCGAAAGTCATTATTAGTGTAACATATTTAATCTTTTAATTATTTATATTTTATAATTGCATTTGTTGATCTTGAACAAATCTGTTAAAAAAAAAAAAAAAAAAAACTAATTTTTGTTTCTCGTCAATTTGGTAAAATCTGAAATTTCTGAAATTTTGATTTTTTCCATCAAATCGGTAAACGTGCCTCCCTTGTTTGATTGCAATACAATATATACATCTATTTGTATTGTAGGAGAGAGGCCCGGGTTGATTACATTGATATTATTCAATTTTTTTTTTTCGGAAATAGTGTAACTTTGTTTGGAAACATTGAATTATATATATATATATATATATCAATTCAGAAAAGTTGTAGACTTTGTTGTTCGTGTAGTTTTTTCTTATATTAATTATTCTTAGCAAAGTTGTTGAGTAAAATAAAAATTTCCTGTGATAAATTATTTTATTCAGATTCATGATATTTAATTAGCATTGTTCAAGTTATAAATTATTGTGTTTAGATTTGATCTGTATTAAAAAAAAAATATTGTCACATTTTATCTATTCCTAAATTGTTGGCAATTAATTTTCAATTACAAATTTAATAACATTTGTGACTGTTTGATTGTTGTCTCTGACATATTTTATAATTATTTACTCTCTTGTACCTTAACTAATTTATTTTTATGACTAATTTAGAAGAAATTGTTAGTGTGAAACCTGAAAAATTTAATGGTAACAATTTTGAAAGATGGCAAAAACAAACAAAATATTGGTTGATTGTGTTGGGTCTTATGTCTACCATAGAAGATCAGGATTTTGTTGGATCTTGGTTGTCACCCAAACAAATCGAATTTCATTACTATAACAGGATCCTTAGTGTGTTGTTTAACCATTTATATGATGTATATCAGTCAGCCACCTCGACTGCAAAAGAACTATGGAAAACCTTAGAGGCCGAATGTGGAGCTGTAGATGCTGGTATATGATGGGTTCATTGTCTCTAATTTTAGTGGGTATAAAATGAAAGATGACATACTTGTAGGAGACCAAATTCATGAGTTTCAAGAGCTGCTTAAAAAAGTAGAAAAGAAAGGGACAACTTTTGGTGAGGAGTTTAAAGTGTCTTGCCTTATTGATAAATTACCTCCATCTTGGAATGACTTTGCTAAGCGTCTTAGGCACAAACAAGGAGATCTTTCATTATCTCAACTAATCAATACACTTAGGGTGGAAGAGAAGCATAGATCAAATCTAGAAACTGGAAAAGAGAAAACTCCTAAGGTAAATTTGGTGGAAAATGGAATAAGAATAGTTCTAACAATAGGAATAACTTTTGACCTAAAAGTAAAATTTTCAAAAACAACCCTAAGTTTAAATCTAGAGGTCAAAATGGAGAACACCAAAATAACAACTACCAAGCCAATGCTAATAATTTTAAGGGACAAGGGAGTGGCAAAATGTTGTGCTATGTATGTGGAAGAACCAATCATTATGCTAAGGATTGTTTTTTTTTAAGGAGACTGATGAGTATAAATCAAGGTTCAACAATAAGCAAAGAAATCAAGATCATAACGCTCAATTGAATATGATTTTGAAGAAAGAAGAAATTGTCAAACCATCTTTTAGGTATAATCCTGAAATTAATTCTACTTTTGAATATCAAGATTGGTGGTTAGATTACGGGGCTAATATACATGTGTGTTTTGATTGTGGTTATTTTAAAACTTTCCAGAAATCAAGTGGAGGAAGTGTAACTTTGGAGAATGGATCAATTGCATCGATACTTGGCATTGGAGATATAAATTTGAAGATGACTTTTGGAAAAATCTTAACTTAGAGAGATGTGTGATATGTTCCTGAAGTTAGAAGAAATCTTATTAGTGAATCGTGTTTAGTATAGTTAGGTTACAAAATTATAATGGAATCGAATAAAATTGTAATAAGTAAAAATGATATTTTTATTGGTAAAGGTTTTGTATGTGATGGTTTATTTAAATTGAATGTATTTTTTGCAGTTAATTATATCTCTCATAATATTTTGAATATTGAAGTTTGTGATATGTGGCATGGAAGACTTGGACATATGAATTTAAAGAAAATTATGAAAATGATGGATTTATATTTAGTACCTAAATCACCTATTGATGTTAAACGCAAATGTGAAATATGTATGCAAGCAAAACAACCTAAGAAACCTTATAAATCTATAGAAAGAAATTCACAACTCTTAGACCACGACCCAAACCCACCCATAAAAATTTAGGTCATGACCGGCTTGTACTCAGGCCTCGGAGACAAAATTTCAAAACTATTCAAATCATATCGGGGCCTAAAGTGGAAGCAAAACAAATAATAATGTCCATTGAACTTGTGCATACATGATAGCTGGAATAATTAAAACATTTGGACACACTATAATTTTTATTCATATACAAATCTTATATATCTCACACACATATACATAAAACATAAATTCTAACAATGAAAAATTAAAGCCTCGACACAGAGGCGCCTTTTGGGTGGCTTGACATAACAGGCCCACACAAGAACTCCTAAGGCTGACTTAAGGTTGGTCTCTAGATTGATCACCTACATACATATAAAACACGGAGTGAGCTAAGCTCAATGAGTAATAATACAGTAAAATAGTGTAAATAGATAATCAAGGTTCTCACAATATTCATACTCATTTAAACAAAACGGCTTCAGGCCCAACGTATATCAAAACGGCCTTGGGCCCACACTTAGCACAGGCCGGCTTTAGGCCCAATCACATGTTAACAGCTGTTAAGAACGACCTCAGGTTCAAACATATCTTATCGTATCACTGTATCTTATCATGGAGTAGAAGGAACATCGACATGTCTCCACCTCTCCTTGGGCCCAATGCATGTATGTATGGGCCCAAGAGGTGACTCGTACGGATTCTAGAGGTAACTCCTACCGTAGTACTTAGTTCCGTACAACACTTTGTTCCATACCAGGAATCCATAGGTCTTAAAGACCGAATAGGTCATATCATGTCATAGCATAAACAGAATAGATAAACAAAATGGCCTTGGGCCCACCATATCATATTACAAACATTTCATATTTCATATCCATATTCCATATCATAGGTCTTGTAACTCATTCATCCGCATAAAACATAATTCTAGATCATCACAACAGTTATGTATCAAAATAAAAATAAATGAACATATCTTTACAATATTATTACTCACAGTGGGTTCCAAAAATGGTTGACTGGTCCTTGAATCTTGACCTGTAATCATAATGCACATAGCACACATATCGAAACATGGAATTACTTTCTTGATCAAATTTACTTTTCATAATCTTTTGTTAATCAAATAAACAAATCCCTTAATTTGCTCCACAACCAATTATTTATGTTGGTTCTAAACTCGTTAGTCCTCAGAAACGAAAGGAAACTAGTTTGGGAGAGGAAATAGCATAAAACGGTTAAAAAGAAAGTGAACGATCTTCACTAATTTAAACATATCTTTTTTTGTACTTATAATTTAGATGTGGGACTACCACCATTGGAAACTAGACTTCTGGGACTTGAATTTAGGCTCAAGAATTACTTAAAATGGAGTCCGAATGATAGAGATATGATTATTTGAAGTTGGGCTAAAACAAGAGTGTTCTGCACCTGTTGGTATTGGGCCCCACATGCTGGACAACGTGCTTTTTTAGCAGAATCAAATTGGATGCTGGAAATGGACTGTCGCACAATGAATCTTTAGCAGAATCAATGAAAAACATGAGATTATAATGATTTTCTAAATCAAAACCTCGAAAACACAATGAATCTTTAAGCAAGAAAGATCAAAATCCTTGTTTAGTTCTTTTCCAAAGTTTTTCAAAACTTCTTCTTCCAAAACCACATAAATCTTCATTTCATATATCGTTTATGAGTTCAACTCATATAAAACCTCAAGATTAAGGCTTAACTTCTCACAATCTAACCCAAGTTAAGTAATTTCAATGCAATCAACTCTTAGTCAAACAAATCCAAGTCTAATTTCACATATGTATATGTATATCATGTACGCTTAGAACTCAAAATGCTAACACCATGTAATCATCTCCTTTAGGGTTCTTACTTTAATTTTCACCAATTTACAGCATTCAACTTCTTACTTCAACCTAGATTACATGATCTCATGAAGAATATAACTTGTATTCATAAAATTAGAGGAAGATGCTTACCTCAGTTGGCTAATTTGTTGTAGATTAGCCTATCTCTTCAAGTTTCTCTCTTCCTTCTTCTCCTTGAGCTCTCCCTCTCTCTTTCTCCTTTAGCCTATCTCTTCAATTTCAATGATAAGCTCGGGGAAGGAGGATTTGGGATGGTGTTTCATGGGACATTAAGCGATGGTACCAAAGTGGCAGTGAAGCGTCTCAATGGTTTTGGTCATGTTAAGAAGTCATTCTTAGCTGAAGTTGAGACAATAGGCAACATTCACCACGTCAATTTGGTGAGATTGGTTGGATTTTGTGCTGAAAAGTCATATCGGCTTTTAGTATATGAGTACATGTCCAATGGATCCATGGATAAATGGATCTTTCAAAGGCACCAAGAGCTAACACTAGGATGGCAATCCAGGAAAAAAATCATCATGGATATAGCCAAGGGACTAACCTATCTCCATGAGGAATGTAGGCAGAAAACATTTCACCTGGATATCAAACCCCAAAACATCCTCTTAGATGAACACTTCAATGCGAAAATTTCTAATTTTGGATTGTCAAAACTAATTGATAAGGACCAAAGCCAAGTTGTAACAATGATGAAGGGAACACCCGGTTATTTGGCTCCTGAATGGTTGAGCTCAATTATCACTGAGAAAGTAGACGTCTATAACTTTGGTGTCGCGGTCTTGGAAATGTTGTGTGGGCAGAAAATTTTGGATAGGTCTCAGCCTGAGGAAGATATGTATTTACTAAGCCTATTTAAGAGGAAAGAAAAAGAGGAAAAACTTTTGGATATCGTTGATAAATACAATGATGACATGCAGATACATAGAGCGGAAGTCGGGGAGATGATGGGTGTTGCTATGTGGTGTTTACAAAGCGATTTTTCTAGGAGGCCTTCAATGTCGGTGGTGGTTAAGGTCTTGGAGGGTTTTGTAGATGTTGAAAACAATTTGCATTATAACATCACAACTCCTGTGGTACCAAGAGCAATCACAGCCACTGGTCACCAAGAGGATGCCATTGGTGATGCTACTCCATTATTTCCATCAGCTTTATCAGGAGTCAGGACCAAGGTAATGAAAGTAGACTCCAATGTATAGATTACAGCTGATTGTTAAAAGTTTTTTGTATTTCTTTCTTTGTGTAGTTAACTACATTCTAAGATTTTTATCTGTGCAATTCACTCCCTAAGATACAAAGATTAATGGTGTTTTAAGTGTTAGAATTTACCATAACCCACTCCACCTACCACCTCCACTACCACACACACTCACCTACTTCACCTACTTTCCTACACCTACCACACACACTCACCTACTCCCAAATCCTCTCCTATATAATAGGAAGCCTTGTAATATCAACAACACAACAATCAGATATCAATATCAATCAATAAATACATCAATTCTTACATGGTATCAGAGCTAGGTTAAGAATCTAGTAATTTCGTTTTACCGGCGGGCGGCAATCTCGCCTTGGCCGCCCGCCGGACAAACCCAAATTTCCTTTCTTTTTTTACATCTCATTTAGAAGCATTCCGAGCAAATCGTTCCCGTATGAGCTGCTTCGTCCGATCTTTACACAGTCTCTTCGGCTCTGGATAATCTCCATTAGCAATCTCTCTACCTCCATCTTCAGTGATTTTATTTCTCTGTTGTATTTACTTGGAAAAAAAACCGGCTTCCGGGAAACCACAAGTGCCGGCTAGATTGAGCACAAAGGTTTTGCAAAACTGTGAGCAAATGGAATATTTGCTGCCCCTTCTCATAGCTACAATCAAACTCGGTTCGTGAAATGATGTCCGCCGTGAGTCGAGTCATGTACTCACCAATCTCGAACTCGGTCTGACCCAACTCAAGTGCATTTTGCAGTGATTGGAGCATATACTTGGTGCAGTCCACCATGTGTCCCCCATACCCCTACAAATAATCACAATTTTAGTTATACAAGTTGGGTTTTGGTATATACTCATAATTAATTAATTAATTAATCAATTTTTTTTTTTATACATACCTTGAGTTTGTCTCCCGTGAAAGCGGGTGCGACGATATGTCGCTGGTGATGCCAATCATCGCCGTTGGCCATTAGTAGTCCCCGGCCGATGAAATGCTTTGATCCTTGTTGTTGCAGCCATGATTTACCAGCTTTTGTGCTGTACTTTGATAGAAGCTCTTTGATGTGCTCGGTCTCCGTTATACACATTCTTGGCTCGATTCCATTCCAAAATATAAATCTCTTTCCTGAAAATCATAAAGTTTCGAAATCAACATGAGCATAAATCAATCAATAAAATTTCCTTTTTTGTTGATTAAAAAAAAAAAACATGAGCATAAATCAATTGACTGGATCCCAGTTGACATAAAGGGGATAAGTTAAGTCCCTTGAGCTGACTGGGGTCTAATTGAGGTCAAACAGCGGACACTCTGAAGAGAAAAAATTACCGTATTGTTTGGACCAGGTGAGGAAATGGGGCAAGAGACGGCCAACGATGTCATGGTTGATGGTGTCCATGTCTTTGGAGGTGGATTTGGAGACGAGGGAAGCCATGTCCGAGATTTTCCCAACAAGAAACCGGGGTTTCGGACCATACACTCCTTGCTTTTCCATGATTCTCTTGATGCGTGTGATCAAGTAGCAAGTTATAGTTTGATAAGCAACTCTGTAACAAGTTATAGAGAGAGAGAGAGAGAGCGAGGTGGTGGATGGATGTGGTGGGTGGTAGACCTCCAAGGCAGCAGTGTTTTATAGAGTGATATGAGCAGTCAAACGAAATAAAACATTGGGAGTTTTGGTCCCTCACATTGGATTTTTTTTCCAGCAATGGCTGGTGGTCCGAAAATATATTGTTCGAAACATTTAAAACGACGTCATTTTTTATGTGAAACGATATCGTTTTGACATATTCAAGTCATTCGAGCTACAAAATTCAGGTCACCAAATATTTTTCTTTTTTTTTTGGTGTGAATCCCACGGAGTGCCTTTTGACAGAATAAATGGTTTCAAAAGTCCATTAAATTACAGGACAAATTACGCCAACAGTCCCTATAGTTTAGGACTTGTGTCACTTTAATTTTTAACTTTTCAATTGTGATACATTTGATCCTGAATTTTAAATCTTATTCTAAATAAGGACAATTAAAGACATTGTTGTTCTATTTTAAGGGGTCTTTCGCTTCAGCTCCTTGTTTTCTGCCTTTAGCACACTTATCTCTGCTCGCGCATCCTTGTACATGCGTTGGAGCAGAGCTAGTTGGGCGTTTAACTGCTGCACCTCATTTGTCCTACTCTGCAGCCGGTTCGACAAATTTGTAACCGCAGTCATGGTTTCCACACATGACTTCAATGTATACTGATTGGCCTCCACATCCGTTTGCACTGCCATTCTTTGCTCCACAGACCGCATTGGAAAGTTCAACGGAGCAAACCCTGGGGCGCCTGGTTGAGGTTCAGGGGCCACCGCACCCGTTATCTCTCTTGTTGACTCGTTGAGGTCGGGAAAGAGAGTGAGCAGACTACGGGACGACGAAGCCATTTTCTGGGCAACAGAGTGTTACAGAATATCTCTCGCAACCAAGTGTTACAGAGTCTCTCTCTCAGAAATCTCTCTCAGAATATCTCTCGCAGGTTTTTTGCCTCAGCCTCAGCCTCTGTCTTATAGCCGAGGCAGCCACGCGCGTCGCGCGCCTCTTACCACCAGCCGACAAACGGGCACGCAAGCCAAGGCGCCCACGTGCCTCACCATCATGTCCGGCACACCTTTTGATGAATTGGGCACGCCTTTTGATGGCACGCCTTTTGACAAAATTGGGCACACCTTTTGAGGGTGCCACTTTTCTATGGGTCCGACAAGACTCTGTAAACTGTCCCGACATTGATTCCGGTTAGTTTCTACAAGGGTCCAGCAAGACTCCGTAAACTGTCACAACAACTGTCACAACAGTGTCTGCTACAACGGTCCGACATGACCCCGTAAACTGTCTGCTACAACGGTCCGACATGACCCCATAAACTGTCTGTTACATCGGTCTGACACAACCATACAGTGTCCTCTACATGGTTATGACACCCCCATACAGTGTCCTCTACAACGTTATGACACCCCCATACAGTGTCCTCTACAACGTTATGACACCACCATCCAGTGTCTTCATCAATGGTCTGACACGACCACACAGTGTCTCTTATCCTCTTTTATTTTTATGTATTTTCTTGTTTTGTTCCTCTCTTCAAACTCAAGTTGGTTAGTTTCTATCCTCCTTGAGTTTGCGGGGGCTGTTAGAATTTACTATAACCCACTCCACCTACCACCTCCACTACCACACACACTCACCTACTTCACCTACTTTCCTACACCTACCACACACACTCACCTACTCCCAAATCCTCTCCTATATAATAGGAAGCCTTGTAATATCAACTACACAACAATCAGATATCAATATCAATCAATAAATACATCAATTCTTACATTAAGTATTGTCTCCTTCCACCAATAAAATTTCAAGTCTCAATAATGTTCTTCCTTTTTATCTTTCTTGAATTTTCTTCCATCATTATTGCCATAGTGAAACATACAGAACCACATTCTCAAGTTCCAAAGTAAAAGGGGAAAAGATAGATATTTTGTGAGAAGATGTGAGTTTCTCATGATTCAAGTAAAACGTGAGTGTCAGTTAGTTGGTTTTTCAAACTTTCTTTCCAAAAGAAGTGTAAATTAATTTTGAAGAAAGAACAAAGCCAACTTACATTTTGGACAAATTCAGAGCCATTTTTATGATTAATTCATTTGGTTGATGGGATATGTTCTTGAATTGCTTGGAAAAAACATTTTGTAAATCTGTTAGTCTGCAGAATGTGCATTTTTTCCCCCTCACCTTGAACTTGACATGGAAAACAGAAAGAGAGTGACATGCACTTGCCATGTTTTTTCCCCTGTGCGTTTTCGTAACCTACTGATCAGTAACAGAAAAAGAAAAAAACCGAATCTGTATTGCACTAATTTTCTTTCCTTCACGTTTTTCATCAATTCAGCACTTTTGAACAATGCCCAGCCTGTTGAGCATTAAATCTGCCCCAGTCATATTTTGTATCTGCTTTAGAAGGAAATCCATTTGTCAAATTCGAGAATGGAAGCTTTAACGGCTGCACAATTCCTCTTTAAACAAGCACTTCTTATGACCATCAATATCATAGTCTTCTAAAGCTCATAGATAATAATTTATATTATAGTCAGTTCCCTATGGTGGGGAAACAAGCTTAGCTTGGAAAAACTGAGTTGGAGGATTGCAAGAAGACTTGTTTGAAGAACTGTTCATGTAAAGGAGCTTTATTATTTGCATATCAAATGGCTAATAATCTTTTCAAGGGGAGGTTGCTTATTATTGTTGGAAGTCTTTTCTTTTACAACTAATGATGATGGTATGCCAACCGTGGGCTTGGTGGTTTGTGATTTGTGGTGGCTGTTTAGGAAACAGCAACGGAGGTCATGATGGTTTGTGATGGCCAAAAGTACGACTAGGTGCTGTGCTGAATGACGAAATAATTTTTCCAACAATTGAGGTGCATGGTGATCAAGCAACTTTGCTCTGATCTGATTGGATGAAAGAATATAATGATTACATTCATTCATTCAGAACATCTTCATTCCAAATGATTAGATTTGGATGAATTGAATAGCAAAGAGAGTGATGATGGTGAAAGCAGGAATAAGTAACAAAGAAGCTAGATGCCATATCATGATGACACAAAATTGGTCAAGACACATTTAAATTAACTGTAAAACTAACATCATTTTATCCTTGTTCAATAATTTGTGAGTAGTTGGTTATATTCCAATAATTTGAATGTTACCCTCTTGGTCCATGATATATAGCAGTCAATTGGGCATGTGGCTAGCCTGGGTGGGACACCTTGGGACAGATATGACTATGAATTGATCCTCTTTAAAGGAAAAATTATTTAGTTGTATTGGGTACCACGTATACCAATCACCAGATATCAAATCTCTTACGCTGTGTTTGGTTGGAGGATTTGAGAAGGGAAATGGAAAGGGAAATGGAAATGAAAGGAAAAGGAGAAAGAATTAATAGAATTCCAAATCCCAATTATGTTTGGTTGTGTTGGTTATAAAATAGAATTGATGTCCTAAAAGGTATCCTATTTCTTTATTTATTTCTCACTCCCTTTCTTTTCCCATATATTTTTTATTATAACCAAACATAAATAGGATTACATTTCTCATTCCTTTTCCAAATCCCACCTCAAAAACTCCAACCAAACACAGCATTATTGTTTTCTCATGTCTTAATATAAATTCGTGAGCTACACTTTTTTCACTGATCACAACATTCCTGACAATATTTCTAAGGCATCATCTGAAAATGCCTCAGGATCACCAAATAAATTTTCTTTGGAGCCACTCCAATTAATGCACCTCCCTTCGACAACTTGATTAGGGTCTTTACTCCAATCAACATACTAGTTGTAACATTAATTTGTTCTCCCTTTTGGTAGGATAGACCACGGTAGACCTCCCTTCAACTATACTTCATAAATATGCATTAAGGTATCGATGGCAAGTATGAGATGTGAAGTTCTTTTTATACTTGTTGGACAGTTAATTTTATGATTTGATTCAGCTTAGTTCATTTTTTTTTTTTTTGGGTTTAATCTACAACAAACATGAATTAAACTAAAACAAAAGCGGGAAACCTTGTGCTTAGTGATCCAAACATTACTAATTGTTGAGTCAAGATCCTTTGTCTTCTTTACTTGTCCCAATCCTCTGTCCAGATCCCAATCCTTTGTCCCATTATCCACGAGTTGCCATGTGTCTATCGCTAAAGAAAAACTAATCCTCCACAGTTTTTTGTTTGGGAACTTCCAAATAAGCAATTTTTTTTTTTGGGGTCTTTAGTGACATTTTTTTGAATCATATTAAAATTTTTGGAAGGAAGAGGTTCAAGCGGTAGTTAAGGCAAAAAAAAAAGAGTGCTTTAAAAAGTGGCAGAAGGATAGAACTGGGAAAACCTTAAGAGCTACTGATTGGCTAATAAGGAGGTCAAGAAAGTAGTGAGAGAGACCAAGTTGAAAGTATATGATGACCTATACACTAGACTAGATAGTAAGGAGGGAGAGAAGAGGGTATACAAACTTGCTAAGATACGGGAGAGGAAAATAAGAGATTTTAATCAAGTAAAGTGCATCAAGAGTGAGGATTCTAAGGTATTGGTGAAGGATGATGAGATTAAGGAAAGATGGAAGAATTATTTTGAGAAACTGTTAAATGAGGAACATGGAAGTACGACAATAGGGGAAGAAATAGCCAGTAATACGATAAACCAAGACTATAGGTTCTATCGCAGGATTAGAAATTTTGAAGTGGAGATTGCACTTAAGAAGATGAAATCAAATAAGGCTTTAGGACCTGATGATATCCCTATTGAAGCTTGGAAGTGTTTGGGTAAAAAGGGAGTTGCTTGGTTGACTAGGTTGTTTAGCAAAATTTTGTTGACTAGGAACATGCCAGATGAGTGGAGGAAGAGTATTTTAGTACCAATCTATAAGAATAAAGGTGATGTCCAGAATTATAACAACTATAGAGGAATTAAGCTAATGTGTCATATAATGAAAGTGTGGGAGAGGGTGATGGA